TTCTGAATACGGCTGGGGCAAGGCTATTCATGTGGGACTACGATTTGTACAATAGATTTAAAGATTTCTGATTCATTCTTGCTTGAACAGTTCGCCAGACTCCATTTTTTTCAGCTGTTCGTTAGATACGCGGTCTAGTTCGTCATCTACTTGCTCAACTCCTTGCACTTCAGGAATGTAAAATTGAAGCATGTTTTGCACCCCGTTTTTTAGGGTAACAACTGAGCTAGGGCAACTTGAGCAGGATCCTTGAAGCTTCAGCTGCACAATTCCATCTCTGAATCCCTACAATTTAAAGAAAGCAATATCATAGCAAATTACGGAAGATGAGGTTTCATTAAAAATGCAAGGCCTGCTGCTTGGTCGTTGGTTGAATCTTGGCTTATGCCGGTGGTGCTATGGCAATACCTCTACATTTGTTGATGAACCAAATAGGTGGGCTAGTGGGGAATCTACAAAGGACATCGCAATAAAATATGAAGATGTTATGGTGTCTATTTTGGTCGCAGTCATTCCGAATTATTTAAGCGGCCTGGCCTTGCTTTTGCGACATAGGCGTGTTGGAGCCACCTATCCTAGGTCTTCCGCCACGGTGGCTATCATTACTCCCTTCGTCAGACCGTGAACTTGATAAATACCCTGTTGATTAGCCAGCATTGTCAGTATCTTTTCCTATTCAGCACCAAGCCACAGCTAATCAATCATTCAACAAGATTTCTGTCCTGGTCCGTCCATCTATCTTCTTATCTCACTCGCCCTATCAAGGATTCTGGCCTGTTTATATTCCATTCTTCGAGGGGTATTCTTTCTGGCGAGTTAAGTGTATCTTCATCACACCTGTTTACCTTCCCTCTCCTCGATTTTGAAGTCATTCGCTCTGAGACACTCAAGAGAAAATTGTTGAGAAAGAAGTCATACCGAAATAATATTAAATTTCGAGCCTCATCACAACCACAGATCAGAGTGCTGAGAAGCATGGTCATCAGGAGCCTTTGATTAAAAGACGTGGATTTCTGGGATTTATAATTAAACAAATTGATTCGGATATTCCTCGGCATCGGATACTTGAGGGACGTAATATAAGGAAGCGTACGGGCTGTGAAAAGCCAATGTTAGGGCCAAAATCATAAAAGAACGGCATGGATAGAGAAAGACTAGAAAAAGTGTATGTTTACCTCCGTACGAACTAATTAAAAACCACGACCAATACTAGGAAAATACAATACCGGATTACCACGAAGAAAAAAACAGGACTTCATAAGTTTAGACACGCAACCTGAAAGGGTGGGCAAATTAGATTGCCCGAGGGCTTACTGCATAGCATGCGGCGTCTGCAAACAGGAATATGTTGGCGAAGCAGAGAGAAAAATCAGCAAACGAATCAAGGAACATCAGGGGCTCTGCATGAAAATGAATACCGGAAGATCAGAAAGAGCGCAAAAACTAGACACAAGATCAATTTGAAGGCAGCAAAAACTAGGGCATCGTATATTGAAAACACGAGGAAATGGAAGATTATGGAGTCCACTTACATTCTTGCAAGAAGGAGTACAATCAACAGGAGATTGGAGAAAGGCAATTAGCGATCACTTTGCCTATTTTCTAAGTAAACTCGGATACAAGATATGCAAGAGAGGGAAGCGACTAGACTAAGGATATATCGTTAGCCAGAGGAAATAATACCAAGGAAGCTTCGTAAATCAAGCGAAGACTACTACTATAACTTTGAGGGCCTGACAGGAGTAAGGAAACAGAAATTTGGCATCATGACTGGTGGATCGAACCTAAATTGGGTACAAGCCCACCTGAGGTGGAGCAGACGACCAGCGATAGACGTTCACATTTTGATCGGACTACATGGGTTAAATAGGAGATGGGCCGTGGTGACAACGACTGCTATCTATAGACATAGTAATCAGAGCCTATGCATTCTGCTCTCTAAGGCGACATTTTATCTATCTCCAAAGGCCTGAATAATAGTGCCTCAAGTAAAACGTATACTGGGAATGGAACCGATTCAAATTAGTCAATTATAAAAATAACGGATCTTCGGGCCCATTATAGAGGTGCGGATAGGAGCCCGAGTAGGATCAGCAAATTGAGGGATAGGGTGGCAAGGCAATTAGCAGATTTGATAACGCCACAATAAACTCACAAAAAAAGGGCATCTCTTGAGGAATGGAATATAAATGGGCCATAAGTTGTGATAGTGCGTGAGTGAGATAGCATAGTAGATAGTATAGACAGGCCATGACATAAAGGAGAATGATAACACTGACTCCGCTTGTCCCCTTGATGAGTTGTAGTTTGGTGCTAAAATGGCGAGACTAATTGACATTGTTAGTGAAACATATGGAAATGTACAAAGTCCACAGTCCAACG